AAACATTCATTTATCAAGATTATTATTAATTTTATTTATTTTTATATTAATTAATGAACATAACTACAGGTGAAATAACAACAGCACCGGCAACAGTATCAGCGCCTACAACAACGGCACAGGTATTGGCATTTAATTCATTGGTTAAGTATAGCGATTGCATAGCATTGTATAAGTTTCTATCCACGAAAATAACAGCCAATGATCACCACAACTGATCCGACCAGGATATTGATGACAGTTGTGATGGACGGTGACTATGACAAAGTGGCCGGCGGTGATAGTCGCCGCTTTTTAGACTCCGTGAGGGGACAGTTGGCTAAATACCTACGATTGCCGGTGCAGTGCATAACCGACATGGAGTCGAGACACGTGACGGCAATTCACGTCATATTTTGGTTAATACCCTCCACTAATGCCGAGTATCCCATCAACTCCGAGGCTCTTCAATCGGCCAAACGTGAGTTCTTGGAGCTGATCCGCGGCAACAAAGTGACAATCGAGGACTTGTTGGGCGTCCGGTACAAAGTCCTGTCAGTGATTACCGACGATAAGGCACATAAACCGGAAACCCGGGGCTCTTATTACTATCCAAACACATACCTCATCATTGGTCTGACCGCCGGCGGACTCGGGCTAACCGTCGTTTGCGTCATTATCACCGCGTGTTCAGTGCATCAATACATGCGCCGGAAGTATCGCCGACAGATCCAACCTCGACGACAATCTGTGAGTGTCGTCGACAGCATTAATAGCTATTTATTAATGAAAATTACTTTTAAACCACTTTTAAATCCACGTTAAGACCCCATATCTGAGCCCAAAGTTTCGCAACTCTTCGCCCGGAGATGGCGTACAGTCGGTGAACGCCATCAGACTCTGGGAGACAATGCCTGCAACGAAGGACAGGCCCAACAGCACCGGTCACTTCTCGTACGACTCGGGCGTATGGATTGGCGGCCCCGGGCCTCAAGAGCCCGATCTGGTCCACCCATTTGCTGTACCCGAACCGCCCAATTATACGCCCCCTAACGAGCGGGAGATCATGATTACACCCAAACCCCCACCCGATTTGGTATAGTATATGTTATTAAAATTTAATTATCATTTATACTTCATTATGATATTAAAATTTTAATTAAAATTTATTAAACAATTAAATTTTCTAACAATTAGTTAAGACAACTAAAGAAAGAGTGGTCAGAATTGGGATACCCTTCGGACCCATTTCCTGTCTAATACATTGAGCGATTTTGTTTATATATATTGTCACCTGAATTAATGTTGCAATACTATTATTAAAGTCGACAATAAATTCAAAACACATTAACATTTATTTATTCAATTCATTGCCTGAATATTTATTATGTGTTTCATGTTTTGGCCTAAATATTGCAAGAATTAGTGAAATATTATTTCTATAGGAAAAAGCAACTTATTTTGACTGAAATACAATTTATATCTTTCACAAGTTTTTGCATGAAATCTATTTTTCAGTCAATAATACAATTCATAAATTGCATTAAAAAGTATTGTTTTCATATGTTTTTAATCAATTTCAATGTTTTGCACCGGAATTACGATTAATTGACTATTATTTTGCAGGATTTACGATATAATCGGATACTCACAGAGACTAAGTCTAAGTAATGTATTTATGAATATAATTTACAAACTTGATAAAACACTTGATAAATTTTATTAATAGCACACATTTACCTATCTCATTAATATTATAAACAGGCATCGGCGTAGAAGTTACACAGTACCCTTGGACAGTTAACAACTTTTAAACCTGTTGTTAGGCCTCAGTTTGATCACGATTTACATTATTGCTGTGTTTAATTCAAATCCGTTATATTATATAAAATATTGTTTAATTTTGTTATATTTGTAAAAGTTTACATAAATGACTAGCAATTAGTTAATTATCTATTATTTTATTGTCAAATGTCTGTGCCTTCAAAGCCATTGCACTTAATTTGTAAGTATTTAACGTTTTTTTGTACACAATATACTACTTAAGTACATAACAATTATCATGTTTTTTATTTAACTAATACTTTTACGATAATATAAATACGTTACAAATATGTACAAATAAACACACAATTAGTTACCATAATAAAAGTTGAAAGACATTGTAACCAGGTTGTTTAGTTTAACATTGTTATATTTGTGAACATTTTATAAGTTATTAAATTATGGGATAATAAACGGAAAGTGAATAAAAACATGGTATAAAAATAATAAAATATATTAAACACTTAAATAAAACCATGTTTTACAACAAAAATTGTCCTTGATAACAAAAAACAAGTGATTACAAGCGTTAACTGCAATAAATAACAGGTATTTGTAAACTTAACTTAACGTAAAAACTTTTTTATTCAACGCATTTCCCATTGAAATAGCATTACATGCGTTAAAAGTGTCACACTATAGATGACACTACAGTATTGCCTCGATATGCGTAAACTCCCATTCAGTGACATCACAGACACAACACAGCGATTGTGTTGAGTGAAAGTGTCATATGTTTTGCAATGCATTTGTTGTGTGTATTTATTATTGCATTGAATTGAACGCCAAAACTCCGATATAAGTCACAAACAAACAAAAAACAATTAATTTTTTGAAATTTTAATTAAAAATTAAACGATTAATACATCGGATGACAAAAATCCCATCTATTTATACCAAATATAATATTATAAATACCATGTGTTTAATAAATAATCATGTTTTATACCCGTATTTAACACTTAAATACAATTAAAGTTAATAATTATAATAATAATTATTTATTTCATTGAAAAAAACTAGACTTTATTTTTCACTCAAAGACTTGTTTTGTGCGAAAAAAACTAAAAAATAATTTATTTTTAGACTTTTTACTCAAATTTTGCACAATTTTTACCTTTCGCTTTCATTTCACGGTTTAATTGTGAGTTTATTTTACTATCACTTAATTTTCCCATTCATTTAATGCATGCATTTGTGGTCAGTTTTGTGCGCCTATTATCGGTGTTTGGCCGTAGTTTTGATCACACTTTCAATCAAATCCGCCGTAAATGCAAATCCGGACAACAATTATAAGCCGTTTGTATTAAACACTGGTTTTCGGTGCGAAACCAATCAAACCCGAAGTCAAATGAGACCCGATTTAAGGTAATTATCATTTGAAAAACACATATACAGTGGACTCCCGATTGATAATAACACTCTACTCCCGATATAGTGTCCAACTAATCACGTGGAATGTGAAGTCAGAGCAATGCAAATGTGATTTAACGCAACTCTTGGACATCGATGTCGACGACCCGAGTGTCGGCCACACCAGCGCTGGTCAACAGCCGTTGGCCGACGTGTACGCCATCGGCCTTCAAGAGGTGGCCTTCCGGCCGACGTCACTGGTGTTCACCGACCCGTGGGTCACAGCGTTGGACAAACTGTTCCGCCAATTGGATTACGTGCGGCTCAAACAGATCCGATTGGTCGGCATTTTGCTGGTGGTCTACACCCGACGGCAACTGTTGCCACGCTTTCGCTCTGTCGAGGTATCAGTTCTTTGTGTGGATTGTGTGGACAATATGTCATGCGATGGTTGTGTTGGAAACTCAATTGTATTGTCTATTTTGTGTCTTCAGTTGTTTGGCTTTTGTTCAACATCTCTCTCTCTCTCTCTCTCTCT